ATTGGAGTGAAGGATTGTAATTTCCTCTTTCATTGATTCCCTTGTTCAGACAAATTATGTTTTCTTATGGATGCTTATACTTTGTGGTTCCTTGCATATACAATGACTCCCCATGTATAAGCCAGTATGCAAGCAGAGTATATGATTTGTCAGCATCCATTCCTTTCTTCTATGTGTTGAGCCTTTACAATCCATATCAGATCACATGAATTTGGTGCTTACTTCAATCCACGACTTCACATTGAAATTTTGTTAATGCAAGACTTCATCGATGTGAAGGAAACCCTTGCAGCTGCATTTGGTGGAAGCAGCACTAGAGTACAACTGTTAGTTTCCGTCTCAGAGGCAAGTTAGTTTAACATAATTTTAGGCATGTCAACATTGATAAGATGCTCTTTGAAACTGGAACAGTTTTCATCCATAATCCGCTTTGACGTGATTCTAGCTACTTTCTCTGACTGCTACGTATGCCATGTGATACATGAGTCAACATTTCTGAAATACCAAGATTGATCGATCCTGTGCATCCCATCTCTTTGTGCTCGCTTGTTGCTTCTGTGCTGAGATGTCTTGGACTTTGGCATTTAAGAGAGGTACGGATAGGACCTTTAAGCCTTTCATCTTAAATCTATGTGATATCTGGTTCATAGTATTTGTAGCAAGGAAAGAAAAATAAGTTGCTGCAATGATGATTTCTGGAAAAATCTTAGTTTATTAGGAGGGAACGGATGTGTTGCAATTTTAGAAATGATGTAAATGGAAGAGAACCAATTAAATTTAGAAAATATCAGATATGAAAACTGTGGACTAATAGATTTTATTTTTAAGATGTTAGATCTCGATGACTATTTGAAGTTTACAACCATATTGGAATACGTGCAGTGGTTTTGGAGAAATGAATTATTCAACTTTTTCTTTTATATAATAATGTTGTTGATAGGAGGAACAGGACAAAGTTATGAACAAAAAAATTTATACTGATAGTGGACATTGTAGTATGTTTTGGTGGTTGTTTCTGTTCAAGAGGTTTGTGGTATGTTTTGGCCATTTCAGAGGCCCCGGGAGTGGCAAGTGCCCCCCCCATCTCGCTTCTTTCTGACCTTGATCACTAGATTGGTGTCAACAGCTTTTTGGGTAGATAATTGATGATTGTTAAAATTCAGCAGGTCATGACTAGTAGATCTATCTGAAGTTCATCATATTATTGGTAGATTTTCAGTCTCCAGCTGTTGGCAGACTATTGTTGATGGACTCTTTTTTGCATAGACGTATATATTGTTAGGATCAGGGTCGACACTAAAAGGGGGGTGAATTAGTGCAGCGGATAAAAACGTCAACTTCGTTAAATCTCTTGTACGTTGAAAATTGGTTTCGACGTAAAAGTCGTTTCATAAAGAACTTTAACTTAAGATCAAAACAGAAGTATAGTTGATGTAAAGCAACGAATGCAGTTTACAGATAAGATAAAGAGCAGAATGTAAATGCAAATCGAGATTTAGAGTAGTTCGATTAATCTTGACCTACATCCACTTTTGGCTTCCTCCTTCGACGAGGTCACTATCGTCCATTAGAGGTCTTCCTTCAATAGGCGTAGATTAATTCCTTCTTACACCTCTCTTCTCCTTTAGGAGACAACCCTTACAAGCACTCACACTCCTCTTCACGATGATCTTCTTGGCGAGTTCCGACGAGCTTCTCTGGCAAGCTCCGAGACTTCTCGGTTGGTTCCTTCAGAACTTCCGACGAACTCTCGAACTCCCAACGTGATCGCGTCCTTGACTCCGGGACTTCATTTTGCTTCATGTCTTGCTATCGTAGTTAATCTTACACATGTAAAACAAACTTCGATCTAGACAATTAATACTAAGCATTAATCAAGTTGTCCGACATGTCATTGGTCTCTCGACGCTTCGTCCGATTCTTCGGCGTATCGTCCTCTCTTGCGGCCTATTGCCCAATCGGCCAGTTGACTCTGCAACTTCGATATCCTTGGCGCAATTTCCATTCTTCTTGGCCCGATGCCCGAATCCATATCGACATGCCTTCTGTCGATACGTCGATCGATCCACCGGCCCGACGTCCAATCTTCTGACATGTTCCTCTGGCCCAACATGATTTTTCCTGCTTTAATTGTCTCATCCTGATCGAAGCATCCTGCGTCACTCAAAACGCATATTAAAACATCAACACAATTATCAATTGGTTTCATCATCAATTATTAAAACATCAATTATCAATTGGTTTCAACACAATTATCACTACATGTCAAAGTGCTTCAGAAGTGTGAGCAAAGAGCAAGGGTTGCTCCACCTCCTCGGCCCCTTTCACAACCAAGCGCTCTCCCTCCATGAGAGCAAGGGATCAATGACTTTCACGGAAGTCCCGCCTCTGCGGTACCATGGCGTTGCCATGCCCATGGCCCTACTATCCATCGCCTCACATCTGCATCCCTTTTCTTCACGATCAGTAGATATGTCTCCGTGGCACTCTCCTGAGTCCACCTCCATTCTAACTGATGCTTGATTTTGGGTAGCTAAGTCCCTCTGGAGTCGTCGTCGCTTTCTCGCCCCTTTCGACCCCCTGCTTCAACACCTCTGTGTTCTCCAAGCAGTTTGTTTGGTCGATGGAAAGACAGACTGCAACTCCCATGCATGGCCTCTGCCATCACGTTGTAGGGTTTGCACCGATTTTGTTCTCCTTAGCTTCCTTGGTAGCAACGTTCGCTTACTCGACCTTGTCCTCTGACTTGTCGGGCTCCCTTAAGCGAATATGAGCTCTGGAGCAGTCCAACTCTCAAACTGCTTCGATCATACCTCTGCATGATCAAGTCCCTCCCATGGAACTCACTAGTACTTGCATTCGAACTTTTCCCTTGGTGGAACCCAGCCCCCATATGCTGTACATGTCAATAATGATTTCATTTGAAAAAGTTCAAAATCGTGCATTAAAAAATTTCTTTTAGAATCTTTTATACTACTTGTACCTTCGTGTGTGATTTTAAGAGTGCGTCAAATATCGAAAGCCGTTTCGCACAAAGAAACCCGATTAAATTCATTTTTGTCTAAGGCACAAAATAAGACATTCATAACCTTTGCATTTAGAGAAAACGTCTTCTTCTCCAAATCATTCCAATGGTTCATTGGAAGAAAAGACATTTCGAATCCGTTTTCGACTGTGTGCCATAAATTTAAATCAATCGAAAGCAAGAAAACTATCATTCGAGTTTCCCAATAAGTGTAGTCCATCTCATTGAAAAAGGGAGGACGAATGAGAGAGTGACCCATCTTAAAAGTCGAAAAGAGCCATTTCTATTTCAATGTTAAACCAAATTAGAAAATCATGGCTCTAATACCAATTGTTAGGATCAGGGTGAATTAGTGCGACGGATAAAAACGTCAACTTCGTTAAATCTCTCGTACGTTGAAAACTGATTCCGACGTAAAAGTCGTTTCGTAAAGATAAGATAAAGTATAGTTGATGTAAAGCAAAGGAGGCAGTTTGCAGATAAGATAAAGAGCAGAATGTTTGCAAACCGAGATTTAGAGTGGTTCGATCAATTTTGACCTACATCCACTTTTGGCTTCCTCCTCCGACGAGGTCACCGTCGTCCACTAGAGGTCTTCCTTCAGTAGGCGAAGATCAACTCCTTCTTACACCCCTCTTCTCCTTTCAAGGGTTTATGAGACAACCCTTATTGGGTTAGCCCGTGCTAACTACGATTCCTAAGACATATTCTAGCTAAACAAAGTCCGTAAGTCTATTCTTCCAACGAGCTTCCGGTGATCTTCCGACGAACTTCCAACGATCTCTCGACAATGTTCCGGTGGACTCTCGGCAAACTCCTAGACTTCACGATGATCTTCTTGGCGAGTTCTAACGAGCTTCTTTGGCAAGCTTCGAGACTTCTCGATTGGTTCCTTCAGAACTTTCGACGAACTCTCGAACTCCCAACATGATCGCGTCCTTAACTCCGGGACTTCATTTTGCTTCATGCCTTGCTAAACAAACTTCGATCTAGACAATTAATACTAAGCATTAATCAAGTTTTTCGACATGTCGTTGGTCTCTCGACGCTTCGTCCGATTCTTCGACGTACCGTCCTCTCTTGCGACTTATTGCCCAATCAACCAGTTGACTCCGTAACTCCGATATCCTTGGCGTAATTTTCGCTCTTCTTAGCCCGATACCCGAATCCACGACTCGAAGCCTTCTATCGATACGTCAACAGATCCATCGGCCCGACGTCCAATCTTCTAACATGTTCCTCCGACCCAACATGATTTTTCCTGCTTTAATTATTTCATCCTGATCGAAGCATCCTGCGTCACTCAAAACACAGATTAAAATACGAGATAAAAATAAAATAAAATATATATATATAATATATATAATATATATATGTTTGTATAATACATATACATAAACTAAATAATGAGCATGGTCTATATGAATTAAAACTACATATATGTACATATGTACATATGTACATATATACATATATACACATATTCACACACACGTATGTATGTGTTTTTGTCTATGTATATACACATATACAAATATATACACACACAATATACAAATATATATATATATATATATATATATATATATATATATATATATATATATATATATATATATATATATATATATATATATATATATATA